GGAATAATCTGTAAATTATATATAAATGTTATGGGTAAAGACATTTCTGACAGATGAGTAGTTTCCCAGTTGTCCTTAGGAAGCAGTCAGACAATATCATAAAGTGTGATCTCTGAGATGGAGGCCTTGTGACCTACTAATGTGTACTACTTGTATAGAATTCATCAGCCATATACTCAGATGAATTCTGCTCACAGAGGAGACAAACTGATTTGTTCAGCATACTTCCCCACAGGCGAACATAGACTTTAACCGTGATTTCCAAGCAGTATTTCAGCTCTTGTGCAAAACGTGTTATGCAAGTTGTAATACATATGTATGCCTGAGAACTACAAGCGTCGCTAGTGTATTGAGTTCAAATTTCTGCTTTCATAAGAGCGATGACCATTGATTCCAGACTATCCACCACTGCTTCAGTAATCAACTTTTATATTAATGATCCCGTTAGTTTTCCCTCATTAATATTGCTACTGAACCGTGGTCAAGTTTTACGGCATGGACTAGTCTATTCATTTAAGTTTAGAAAAGTTCTTTTTGGCCATTCTTTAGAAAAATATCTATTTCCTCTCCAAGTATATTTAGTTCGGTTGAAGTGATGTTACATGAAAAGATATCATCCTATTGTTACCATTTATCTTCGTTTCCTTTTATTTTTTCCTCAAGTTCACTTTAATTAGCGAAGTGCTCAACGGATTGAATGAAGGTGCTCCAGGTGAGGAAATTATTAGTCATAGTATAGTATCTGCTATATGTATTTTGTGTCAGCGGTAGAAACTCAAAGAGCCTGGTCTAGTCACCTCATTCTGCTTTTGTAATTAACCACCTTTTGTTAAATAACTCAGTTTTCTTTGGATTTGGTTATCAAATTGTTTGATGAATTTTTATCCATCAGTTGTTTGACACTTTCTTCATAAAGTGATTCATACACCTTGATAGTTGAAGATGTTCATGACGACATTTTCACTTACTGTATTCCATGGTAAGACTACAGTTGTTTTGTTGGTCGTTAGAGACGTCGCTGAATTCTTTTTTCATGCTCAGTAGATGTCGCCTGCTTCCTTATTTTTGTGTCATCGTTCAACTGTTCGTTCTGAGGTTTTCAAAAAGCTCCAACGCAAAGAAACCTAATTTGTCCGCATTTCCAGTGACGGAGTGAATTGTACACAATTTTAGACCATGATTTTTCTGGAAGATTTACTTCCTGTTCATACTTTACTGCCTTCTTTGATGACCACAGAAGTTTGAGCAGCTTATTGTTCAACTTTGTTCCCACTTCCTCACCTTTTGCTTTAGTTGTTAATCGTTAGTCACTTTCAACTTGCTTACTGTCTCTGCTTCAATGGTCGATCCCAATATTTGCTGCTGAGTACGTTGTATTTAGTTAATCTGATTTAAGTACTTTAGTTTATAATCCGCATCACTGTCCCACCACCTTGTTGTACAATTTTCCACCCAGAGAGATGGTTGACAAGTGGTCTATACTTAACACTTCGTAGCAAGATGTTCTACCAAAAACGTTATATCAAGGGAGAGGTTTTTCTAGACTGGGAGCTCTTCGGTCAGAGAAATACTCCGACTTCCGAGTACACAGAGGCATGTTCCTCTCAAAGGATTTTGAAATGATGGAAAAAATTTCCGGCTTAGCATGAAAATATTTGCAGTGGCTGACATAACTTTAAGCATTCATAGTACTAATACATGCACCTTCATTACAAGTAACTGGTAAATTTTGCCAAAGAATAATTGCCTGTAACTCTGCAGCCCATGCTATGAATATTTTTTGCAGTTTATGACCGGCGTGCCACATATGTACCTCGGTTAAGTATGAATCTGTGGAAAGTCGTTATCTTCATCAAGAAAGTGTAACAATTCAATGATGGACGTTCAACGAAAATCTAAGTAATTATATTCAATTAGCTAGTTACATTCATGTATATAAATTAAGGTGGATGAAACATACTTCAATTGCATGATATTCCTTAATAAGGCAAATTCTTATAACATCTACATTAAGGTGAAACAGTAATTACTTTAATGTTTGGTGTTATGAAAATCTATCGAGAAATTCTCTCACAGATAAATGACTTTCCGATAACTAACTCAAAGGTAATATTCATAATTAGCTTTTTATCAGTCAAATTACCTACATCCTAAATGAGCCAAGGATAATGCACTGAGAAACGTAGTGATTAAGAAATTCGCTATTTGGTTTCATGATTCAGGAGGAAGAATTTTCGACCCGTAATTTAGAAGGTACTGGGTAGTGATTCAAGATGAAATGAAAATCTGGGTCGAGGCAGGATTTCAACCACGAACTTCAGGGCTACTGGCCCATTGCTCTCTGTCAACAGTATCAATAATGCGAGACTGTCAAACCATGGCTCACATAGTCACACTGATAGTTCGACACGTAATAGAAGAAAACATATTACTGCAAAGTGGAACTAGTGAGAAAGCTCTACAATAGCTGAGGTATACATGAAGCACAATCTACGGCACATCCTACCAAAACAAGGTTGGTCTTTCACAATTAAAATGATGTTACACTTTATTTAGCGCTTATCCTATGTATTCATTTCGAAAGATCTTCCTGAGGAACGTGTTGAGAGTAACTATGTTGGATATAAACAGTGAAAAAAGTCATGGCTTAGAAAAGAAATACGTAAGAAAATAAACCGGGAACTCAAATGATAGCATTCAATTTAGAAGTATTTTCAAACAGCTGTCAGAAAAAGGTGTGACAAAGTTATAAACGCTTTGGCATGTGAAGCGATAGGGATGAGATTCGAACCTCAGTTGGGAACACCAAAACTTACTGGGGTGCAGACACATCCAGCTGACGAGTCACAAATAGGAAGAAATGCACGTCATGGATTCCCTTGCTAGCCGCAATCGAGTAAACTATTACAATAAATATTCAGGCAATCTGCGTCGGAGCCAAAATGCCAACAGAGGTTGATCAATTCGACCCAGTATAACAACGGGGGATTACCAGTATGAACAAATAAGAATAGTGTCAAAACTACTTGTGTTTGACTTCGATAAAAAATGTATTCAGTCGATATCTGACCTTTCTTATCTATTTTAACTACATACGTTTCAAGAAGGGAAATACTCATAATAAAAACCCCTGAATTGCTACATTTATCTTAGTTGGGAATGGAATTGTTTGATTATTATATTGCAGTCATACAACTACAAAACTTTCGGGATTGTTTTTATCATATACTTATATAAAAGATACCTGAAGCTTTAAAACTTCACACTGGTAATTTCAATTTTATTCCACCTCTGCCATAAATTTCAGCCACGTATTTATATATAAATCAGCGAGAAAGTGCGTATCATACTTGAAATACAAAAGGTCACCGACTAGAAAAACATAACATTGTACTGGTGTAAAATATTTGGGAGCTGTCGCACGATACCATTGTTTTTTTTAACATAAGCTATCATATTAGTCACATAAGCAAATTTTTGAAATGCTTTTGGTGGGTAAGTAAACATTATAACTGTTATTTGTTTTTGCTTTATCGTTAGGAACTTGTTTTCCTATATACCGATGAACTTTTGAAGTATATAATCCCATTGTTTTTGTGATCGTGAAGTCACATACATGTTTCGGTAATAAACTTTGTAAAAGTCTGGTTTGATTGTACTTTCATGTGTAGTCTAACAGTAGCAAAAACAGTTGTCTATATTTTTCTGCAAATTAACAGCTTGTGTACTATTGAACTTTTTTTCCATTATGGAAACACAAAGTTGAATTTATTAGTTTTTGTCGGTATAAGGGATTCTTGTAAGTGTATTCAGATCTGGGTTACATTTTTAACATTGAAATAAAGGGTACGGACTTCGTACAAGCAGCCAATATGAAGACAGACTGATTAATTCAGTCTTGTGTCAAAGATCACTAATACCATCACTAAACTAATACTCACTGTACAGCAACCAGCTATCGTAACTCCGTAGCCTGCTGGATAACATGTTGGTTCAGAAGGATAAAAAAACCACTAAGATATAGGTAAATATGGGGCTGACAAGTCACGAATAAGAAGGAACGTGCGCACTGAAATCCACTCTTGGGCCAATACTAAGTGAATTATTTAAGATCGCTTTTATTTAACAGTAAACTGTTTCGAAATTCGTCCATAACATAACAACGCAGTTGTCACTCACTTATGATTAACTTTCAACATAAATAATGAATGACATCAATACACGTAGGACATTTCCGTAAAAATAAAGAAAACCTATTCTCGAAAATGAAAAATGTTATATGTAGAGTGAGAAAACGTGAATAAGATGTAAGTCATATGATTGAATTTGTTGATGTTTATCAAATTATATCATATACGAAATGTTCAGTAACATAATCACTCCCACTGCACAGCAATGATATTCTGCTGTTAACAACACAAGGTGTTCGATGATACCATAAAACTACAACCCACCGAATGAAAAATATAGAGGCTGACCATGAAGTAATCCTTTGATGTATTTTTAAGCGACATTGCATAGAAACCATATGATCCGAAAGAGACACCTGTATACGTCATTTATTTTCCTTGAATTTCTATGTATCTAATATCCATGATTTACAATTAACCTTCAAACCATATCGATTTTATAAGTAGCTTCATTTTATATGAAATATATGTATAAACCAGATGGTAGTAATTTGACGATACTACTTTACAATTTGCATAACATTTTGTATGAGAGCTGAAATACGGCTTGGAAACCATGATCAAAGTCAATGGTTACCTCTGAGAACCACTTCTCTTTCACTGGAATTATAATTCACAAGATGAAACAATGTCAATTGCCAGGAAAAAAAGTAGACTCAGGCTCTTTTCACGAAACCTCAAAGAATGTATGTTTCAGTGGTTTGAAATCTATCTGGTCAGTTGCTAAACATCTGATCTTTATTTTTCATCTTTCATGTTTACGATTTGAATTATGCAACGTAGAGGTAGCCAATGAAACATCTTTGGTGGATACTTTGTAGGGAAGAAAGGGAGGAATCTAATCGCTTACATAAAACACTGCCGGGACATTACTCTTTTCTTCATCATGTTTCAGAGTGATCTGAACTAACGCAGTGTTCTTTCTTGTTCTCAAAGATATTAGATACAATATGTTAACTGTATCAATTTGTCACAGTGATATCTAAAGACTATTTAGATATATATCGTAAGAAGAGCAGGCAAGGCATGAAAATGTTAAGCACTTTTATTTTCCATGACATCAAAAAAACACTAAGATGAGTGGCTGGATTTCGACTGCACAGCAAAGCCGAAATTTCTCAAACACGCTTAAACCAGTAATGGGGAGTTGGTTGACTTCTATTTATTTTACGGAACATAGAATTGATTAGCCACTATCAAAAAAGCTTGAACATGCGCGAACCGACTTACCAACTGATAGAAACCTGAGTTACACCCCAAATACCAACAAAATGATAAGTTGTAAATAATGAATACGACAGCAGATATAAACAAATGACAACAAGTTGTTTGACAAGAAATGGAGGCGACCTTTTAAAAATGTCATACATTTTAGTTCCCTTGACAAATTTGAAGAATGCAAGAACAAAGATATTTGCAGAATAAAATGGGCTCATTTTATTTCACGGCCTTTCATCAGCTGCAATTAGCCTATAATTGGAATGAAGAATTAGTAGTAATAATGGCGAAACATACTTTGAATATGTAGAAATAAAGAGTTGAAATCTGTGATTAACAATAAGGCGGGGAGTCTGGTAAACAGGATTAATAATTACAAACCTTGGACGAAATCAATGAGCGTATTCAGAGAAATCTGTGTCTGAAAAGAAGCAGGATCTTCACCAGCGCAATCGCCAGACACCAGATGGAAACATATCCAATAGATGTTTATCAATCCTTCAGGATAATCAACAAAGAACGTCATGTTTATCACGGTTTGCGGAAGCTCTTGCCACCTAACATTTTCAATTTTACCTATGTATTCAACAAGAGACTGTAATTACCATTCGCCTTGATAACTGTATATAATTCCTTGCATATATTCTTCATTTTTCTGATTGTATCACATCGTCATCAACAACTTACTGACAGTTAATCACTTAACGATTTTCCATATAATTACGTAACCTATTAGCTCTTTAACAACCCCTTCTTTTACACTCCTGTTAGTTGTCCCCCACGTTACACAGCTTCAAAACTTTCTCATCAAACATAAATTGCCATTGATCTTGATTAAGACTTGTGATTATTAATCATGTTTCGCGGCTCTCCGCCTTATTGTTAATCACAGATTTCAACTCTTTATTTCTACATATTCAAAGTATGTTTCGCCATTATTACTACTAATTCTTCATTCTAATTATAGGCTAATTGCAGCTGATGAAAGGCCGTGAAATAAAATGAGCCCATCTTATTCTGGAAATGTCTTTTTTCTTCCATTTTTCAAAAAATGAAGGAATACACAAAAAACCTAGAACCATAGATTTTTTTTCAGACAAAGTTATCGAATGGAGAACAATACAGAGTCGTTTTTAAAAAATAGAAAAAATATTTCCGTATATAAATCTCGAAATTGTACAAATTGAACCCACCAATTACCATTGTAATAATAGGAAAGTATAAAAATTGAAGAAGTTATACAGAGTAGTAAACCAATCAGAAATTTTAGAAAAAAAGTTAAATCAAAGGAAAAACACAGTAACAGAACTAAACATAATCTAATAGGGGACGGATTGCTAGCAATTTACTCCTACTTCCACACCAACACCCCCAAGACCATTAAAACGAAAAAGACAGAAAATTATCAAAATCATGAATAAATTAATGACAATGACAAGAAAAAACAATTAATTGAACAAATGTAAGTGAAAACCAACACAAAAACATATTCTGATCAAGAAAAAATGTTTTATAAACTTCTTTATAACTCAGAAGGGTAAGTAGGCAAATAAAGAAATGGACCACATAGTCACCTTTCCAAAAATAGTAACAGTTGAGTCAATAACAAATCAAACAATCAACAACAAAAACACACTTGCAATATATTAAGCAGAGTAATAACAATTATGACAATGAAAAATAATGTGTTCGAAAAAAAATTAAAATACTTTACTGTAAGCAGAAAAACAGGTTCGAGTAGAAGGGTACAGTGATGACAAAAGTGTGAATGTAGTTACAATTGCGAATGGAACAATCCTATTTAATTGCCAGTATGACATAATAATCACATATGTGTGCGCTTAATATGAAAGGAGGAAAACAACTTACATGTGTGTGCACGCGCACGCACACATATGTATGCATGAAAATGAAAAAAATGATATAACAATGAAGTTAATAACACCAGGTGGTATATATAAAGTATACATATTTAAGAAAGGTTGAGAAAACTATCAGTGATGAATGCCAAAGTAAAGTCAGTAAAGAAAAACAAGCATGGGGTTTCGAAAAAGAAAGTGAAACGAAAATAAAATATAAAATAACCAATAAAACATGTTCATATTTGCGCTTTTGTGTAGTAATAGATGTGCGTTTATTTTAATGCATGTGATATATTCCATAAAAGAAACTTCAAAGTTATCTTATCTTGTCCACTATATCATCGAAAAAAGCGTCATATTTAGTCCAAAGGTATGTTGAAAACCTTTGAGAATTTCGCTCGTTTCCGGATAAATAAAAGCATGCTGTAGATAAAAAAGGAAAATTAATTAGCGGTAAGTCTCATCTTATTTGAGTTTAAATGATTTTATGTCCACTCTACAGTAATTGAGATCTATCTAAAAACTGTTTTCAGATCCCTTGGAAGACAGTCGTTATTCAGCCCTAAGGAAATTATTGGACCACTGGAACTAACAAGTATTGCCCATGCTTTGGTCATGCTCGATGGCGTACATAATGAAACCCATTAAGGGATCAGAAGTAGAATTTAAGCAAATTCAGCACAAAAGCAAAAATTTTGTGCGTAAGCTTCGATTTAAACATAACACCAATAAAAGAAATACAGAATCTCTTATTTGCGTTTTCTTAAATAATTTTTTTGTATAGTCTTGTGTAGATGAAGTCCAAAATGATGAATCTAATCTTCGAAAAAGTGTTGACGGGTACCCATTGAAACGCTGCTTAGACACTATTTCTGTGGTCGAAATATTAAACAATGTTTACTCCAGTTAATGTAGTATTTCTGAATTTCAAAGTTTCAGGCAAAACACACACAATCTTGGCATTTAGTATACCGATACTGGAGATTTATTTCAAAGGCACATGTTCGTAATCCACTTCAATAACTCTCAAAACTGCGCAAAAAGAAAGTTGATCAGTAACGTGGTCAGTATATGAATTTGATAGTGATGTATTTATCATCGTAATCAGCAAATTGGAAGGGCTTCAAACAACAAAAAGAGACTAAGATTACATGCTATTTATAACGATAAGTGATCCAGTAGGATAGTTTTTGTCGAAATCTATAACACGAACCTGATCATGAAGGAAAACTTTTCACAACTTTCAGTTAGATCAAAGAAATTCCAGGTCAATGTTCATTGACCTTTGATGGTCAACATTTGTATGGTGGAGTCCATAGAAAGTAACATCAACAGGCACCACTACATAGAAACGAACTAACACTGTCATTTGCATATTTTGATAGCGTAAAGCGATAAGTACTGAGCATTTTGTTACAAAATCGTACGTTTTTAGGTCAACGTAAAATTGGTACATAGCAATCATATAATTTGCTGTTGTAATGACCTGATATCAACTGAATGAGGAAATCCACAATGTGATATAATAATAATAATAATAATAATAATAATAATAATAATAATAATAATAATGAGCGAGGTTGACAAAATGATAATGACAGTAAAATGGAGACTTCAACATGAAAAACGCTGTCTTAGTGCTATTACTATGATAACAACTAACATAAACTGAATTCGTTCAGTATCTACGTACATATTCATTCACTAAGCAATGAGCAACACCTTTGTGTGAGGCCATATGGTGCTACTATGCAGCCCAAAAATCAGTAGGTCGGGTCGGGGTTCAGACTCGAGATTGACCGGTGAAAACTCAGTCAACTGCGAAGAATCAGGAATCCCAGTTCCAAATTAGGCGGCAATAGAAAGCAAATAAAACAAGTGGTACAATTTATTCCAATTCAAAGTTGCCATCAACACGAACCTATTCAACTGAGTTAGAATATTTCTATTATTCTAAATAAAAATAATAAACTGACATATTGAAAATTCAAAACGAAAGTTGGCACACAATCACATCCGCCCAAATTATCGCGGGCCACAACAGCTGGTAAAGAGATAAGGAGTCAAAATATAAAGAGAGTAGAGTGAACAAAGGAACTTTCGAAATCAAGTTGAAAACCTTCAAAGAAGCTGGTGAAAGACGGCCACACTTCAAGTCGAACACCCACAAACAGAAACTGAACTGAAGGACGAAACTACAAAGAACATCTTCACATCAGTCAGTCATCTGCAAAAAATGTGAGACACTACACAACATCGCCAAGGAAACCTGTGTGGAAGAACACTGGAACTCTTTGAAAGAGATATGGAAAGAAACCTATATAACCGTATTAGGAAGGAAGAAGAAGAGGTGAGACAAGGAATGGACCTAGACAGACACATGGAAGCTGTTAGAGGAGGAAGAGAAGGTAGTGAAGTAGAAGATGAACCAGTGCAGTGCAGTGCAGGGATGAACAACGAAAAGAGGAACTGAACACAACCTACAAAACACTACACTGGACAAAGAAGCGAAGAAGAGGGCATGGAAAGACAAATGATACTTCTACTACACATTGGAAAGTGAATGGGAACAGGCTGCAGGTAGGAGAGATAAAGAACTGACAAAATTATATCAAATAACTATCTGGAAGGAGGAACGCAGATGAAACTAATGAAAGATAATGAATGGAACTTAGTCATCACCAAAAAGGAGAAACGAAGGACACGGTGGGCTGACGACTTCAAAAAACCCATGGATCGACCACCACCACCACCACCACCAACTGCAACTCGTTCAGAAACACCACCAGCAGACCAACCACAGAAATATCAGTGAACATAACCCCTCCGACGAAAGCAGAAGTGAACGCCATACAGCTGCTGAAATCCGATAAAAGCAGCATAACCAGATGGAATTCCTCCAGAAGCACTGAAAACAGACGCAGAGACAACAGCGGACACGCTCACATTACTATTGCAGAAGGTTTGGAGGGAAGGAACGGAAGGTACCTGCAGATTGGAAGAAGGGCTACCTTGTCAAACTCCCAAAGAAAGGCGACCTGAGTCTCTGTAACATCCGGTGCGGAATCACGCTCCTGTCCACCATAAGCAAAGTATTAAGCCACATCATCCTGGAGAGACTAAAAAATGCTCCAGATTCAAGATCACGACCGGAACAGGCTGGTTGCCTTCAGGAAGAATAAGTCATTTGTAGATCAAATTGCAACGCTGCACTATGCATCATCATAGAACAAAGCATGGAATGGCAGTCAACTCTCTACCTCAACTTCATCGACTTTGAAAAGGCCTTGGACAGCACCGACCGAGAAGTAATTTGGCAACTACTTCAACACTACAGTGTTAGTGCTACAAACCTTTATCAACCTCATTCAACAGCTATATGCCATGTGATGCTACATGCCCAATGATTTACAATGGAAAGCTAAGTGGTGCCTTTGAAGTGAGGACAGGGGCAAGACAAGGCTGCCGCCTACTATCACCGATGATCTTCCTGTTTGTGCTCGACTGGATCATGCAAGAAACTGTGAGGAGCTGTGAGAAGATGGGCATACGCTGCACCGATGAAAAGACCCCAGGAGAAGATTTAGATTTCGCCAATGATGATTAATGTCTAGTGTCTTGTCGAACAAGGTCGAAGTTCTACAGGTGAAAATCAACAAGTTGATAGGAGAGTCGAGGCAGCGAAGACAGGACTTTCTTCAGGTGAACGTAGGGAAGACAGAGGTGATGAAGATACCCAACCAACCAACAACAAGCACCAGTCACCATCAACGGAGAAACCTGAAGGGAGTTGTCTCTTTCACATACACCTACCTCTGCAGCATCCTTCCAACTACAGGCAGCGGCACACATGAGGACGTCAAAGCCAGGATCGGAAAAGCAAGATATGTCTTCCCTCATTAACCTGAAATCAGTGTGGAGATCTACTGCACTCCACTCAGCATGAAGCGTGAACAACATACGGATTTTCAACACTAATTCAGTCAAGTCAGTGCTTCTGTGTGATGTTTCAGAGACTTGGCACGTTACGAGAAGCATTTCCAACAAACTGCAGACATACATCAACAGCTGCCGCCTACGCTTGCCCGATGCTGTAGGTCAGATGGCCAGAATAATAAGTATAAGCAACAAGGAACTCTTGCTGTCAACGAACCAGTCAAAAACCTGTCGCCCAACAAATATGCAGAAGAAAGTGGAGATGGGTTGCACATACATTGAGAAGACCGTTTGAAGACATCCCACGCAGGGACCTCGAGTGGAACTGAAATGGGGAACGATGCGCTTGGCGTCCGAGGATGACATGGAGGAGGTCGTGTGAAGAAGAAATGAAAGGTTGTTGGTAGTCGTGGAGCCAGGATGAAAAGACAGTAGAGAACAGAGCGAAACGATGATGTGCTACTGAAGCCTTATGTTCCACTAGGAACAAAAGTGTGAGAAGAGAGACAGGGGAAAAAAATTAAGACTAAGGCAAATGGCTTAACTTCAAGGGACTAAACAGTGAAGACATCTGCGCCAGTGTGACCGACCATCAGCGACAGTCACCAACTAATGATTTGTCCCACTGTTTTTCTACCAGTTATACTTTGTTACCCTCAACTTTCTGTAACTGATGGGCGAAAGTTATTGCCATCCAGTTAAAAGAATTAATTATCCCGGTATGGAAGACTGTCCGGTCAGCTATATTATATTACTATATATCTACTTATTTTAGTCACAGTCACTGAATCATTGCACCGACGTCACGATTTCGAAATGAACCTAAAATTATTAATTATGTTTATGGTATTATTACATTTACGCACGCTGCTGCCACAAAAATCGAGGTGTGAATATCAGTTCACACAGGTGACCATTCAGAGATTAAGTAAATCGAGGCGACCACATGTGTATCAACACACGTCCTGTCAACCTGGAGGAGAGTAACAGTGAACAATAGACCAAAACGATGGATAACAGAAATATGGTTGATCTGCGTTTACATTCGGCGTGATGTCGATGAACGCCGAGTGAGAAAATGCCTCTTCCTAATGCTTGAAGTTAGGGCCAACCAGGAACAAGTGATTGTTAGTAAAATTTTAAGAACCGATCACCGCTGGCAATCCTTTGGCATGGAATTTCCCATAGGCGTCAGCTTTCCTACTTGAGTGTTGAGGTCGCCCGCTACTATCTAGACATTTTGACAAAATTTACTTCATCTGGGTTTAGCATATCAGCATTACACTGAAGCTTGTAGATGAAGGGAGAAAATTGATATGGTATAGCGAAGCATGTTCATTTCATTGTTTAAAAGAATACTCTAAAAACAGTGCAATTTGTCAGTAATTTGTTGCAGATGACAGATGATGACGCTTAGACTTCAAAGAAAGTACTGTTGCAATTCAAATAACAGTAGAGAAAATTATCCTATGATCGTGATGCTATCGATTTCACAGGCATAATTGTCTCGTAGATACGCGAAATGTAGCACGCCTGAGTAGACCAAACATGGAAACCGTTTATCATATCTATTTAAGAAAAGAGTTCTTAAAATGACTAATATCCAAGAGGAAATCGGAACAGCATGTTTGAAAGTGATCAACAAATATCCACAATTGCGAATATTCACCAACTATCATACCAAACAACGCAGCTGAGAACCTACTGAATGCTGAGTCACTATATGAGGCAAACCTTCCTTTCAAAGCATACAAGGTACGTCGCACGTTCCTTTTTAAATATAGGCTATGACTGTGAATTAGCTGGGAACACTGCAAAAAACTCTCAGGAAGTGAGAAATAAATGTATAGCTACACATGGATTAGACTATTCTTTTCAAATAATACGTCTGACGGGCCATTTTGAAGTTGATTTTCATGCACACTAGGCATGCCAAGACAATGTAGTATTGCGGATCTGCCTTATGCTTAGTCCCACAATAATACATATCCTATGTTTCAAAAGAACGTAGTTAAGATTATCATCCCAAAGAATTTAAGAGAATGAAAACAGAGATCTGTGGAGGGATCGGAAACCATCAGATGCAATTAATGATGCAAAACTGCCAATTTCCAATTTAATCTCTTTACTCATCATATGATGGACGAGTCAAGAAAAACAATAGTTTCAAAAGGCAGTGGAGTCTAACGGGACGGAGAAACATGAACAGAGAGTTCAGACAGTTCTGAAAAATGTATCTTCTTTGCTCAAAATTAATTTATATGGTAGATAATGTGCCAATCTGGAGGAAGTTACGATAACTAATATGAAGAACAGTAATGAAGGAAAGAAGCTGATGCATGCAACATACTTCGAGAACGGGTACTTAACAAGTATAGCCAATTTTGAAATTGCGATAAGAGCTATTATCTGAGCATTACGAATTGAAAATTGCTTTATTGACGAAAGTTCAGACGCGAGCCATAGTCATTCCTGAAGCTTTCGTTTGTTAACCCGAATGAAATGAGGAATCAAACATAAAATCTAGAAGCAGTTCATGCATAACAAAGGGTGCCGTAACAGTTCTAGAAACCGCTATTGATGAAAAATAAAGGTTGTAAGTGATCCGGAAGGAGAAGTGAACTGTGAGTAAACGGATATAAAAACAAAATATTTGAAGACCATAATAGGTAAGTAAAAGAAAAGATAAAGCATGTGCTATCAAGTGTTATTTCAAAGACAAAAACATAGGTTCTGTTATATCACTATCATACCCCACTGAATTAAATAACAAGCACTGATATAATTTTAAGTACTCACGTTATGGCTCCTAGAAGGAATGTAGTTGCATGGGTTAATATATTTGGAATATGATCAAGGAGCCAACCAATAAAACGTGCTTTCATGAAAGTCGAGTTGCGAAGATACCATGGACCTTTATTGGAAGATACGCGGTTGAGAGATCCGGAAGAACTCGCTTTAGAACCACTTGTTTGACATACAAGCGCAGAATACCTGATAAGTCAGATAAGTGTCAGTTATTGATAATCATTTCATAGCTAAGTAACTGAATATGATTAGTGTGTAATCAAATGGTAGTGCACCAAGCTTGTGAATTAATGAATGAAATCTAAGTGTCTGAGCAACTTCAATACAAACTGGGTAAAACCCTCCGAAATCTATTTCGTAACCACTTAAATTTGATCAAAATTATGGAAATTTACTGTTGCTTTTGAAATGTTGAAAATTTTATTAACTTTAAAGATTTTCTCTTCAATTCCCCATGTTAATTTTAATATTCCATCGCTTTTACTGTGTTCTCTCATTTTTTTGTCCAGTTGTGCAGTGCGATAACTTCAACTGAGGCGCTTCCGTGCAAGCTTTTGTGTTGATCTGCCTATCTTTTCATGTTTCTACAACTGATAACCAAGTTCTCTGAGTTAGATGAGTTGTTCCCGCTAATCATTAGTACTGCATTTCGCGACTAAGCAAACATAACAAATATGATGAGTAGTACTCAGTTGTTGCTTACATGTTCGTGTACGACTAATGACTAGATATGTCACCTGCACAACCAAAATTCGGCCTGTAACCAGTTGAGCGGAATCCTTTAAACTCGTCATACATTATTGATTAAGAGTAAAAATGTCTATACTAATAATAACATAGTTCTATAATATCAACCGAGAAATTCGTGATTAGTTCGGTTACCAAATAAATGTAACCTAGTGAATACTTATATTTTTGCAGACATCTAAAATGAACGTGTCATAATAATATAATAACCAGGTATTTGTATCTGTTTATCTTATGAACAACAAATTCCAACAGTGAGAAACAAAAATGGTTACTTATTAACAATATGCTCACTTACATGCGCAAACCTAGATTCATGTATTTATGAACATCTGAATGAAATATTTACATAAATTTGTGTGTGACTGGTATTAAAATTTGATCGCGTGGATCGAATAGTTTTTATGAATATAACTGATTTAACCACGGTAATTAATGGTATCTTAAATGGAGAAAAAAGAGCAAGTCATAGATAGAAGAAATGTATGGTCTTTTGAATATTGCCTAAGGTACATGTATGAATCGGTTACAGCTTTGATTCGATAACACAACGCCGAACATCAATATATAATAAAGTTGCATGGAAATCGTTAGCATATTTTGACAATCTGGAAGTATATTATGAGAACAGAATAAGTAGAATTCGTCAGTGAATGGCTGCAGTGCCAAAGAGAGCACGGAAAGTAGTCTAAAAAAACACTATAGAGGCTGTCATAGACTTAAATCAGATGCTATGTGCAGCGCGCTGTTTTGCAGATGTGCCGTTTCATTTAAATATATGCAGTATAAAGGACATGAGAAGCACAGAACGCGACAAATAGCATCAGATTCTGCTATGAATATACTAACCCTTACGATTAGACCCTCACACTGGAAAAAAATACGAAAATATAAGAATCTGGTATTTATTTCCAGAATAAAAATGCTAATGAACCTACTGAGGTGTCATTCTTTAGATATGAATTGTTAAAACTAGGGGATAGGAATACTTACGCTCCTATTTCTGGTCGACTAGCCCACTCTCCAGAACTCGTAACTGGGAAGTCAGCCGGATAACTACTAGTGGAGATTTTGATCGTATTTGTATTCTGATACGGTAAAGAGGGTTGTTCAGCTGTGTCACTAGCGTTCAAACCATCATGTGATAGTGGCGGACTAGATGCAGAGACATCACTTGTTCTATCAGAATGCTCTTGAGCTTCCGTGAGAAAGCGAGTCAATAACTGCTCTTCTACTATCGTATGCAGACCGCTCAGCTCCAAAGAACTAAATGTTTGAGACTTCTCACCAAAAACGTGAGAATCTGTATGATTATTCGCATTTGGATTGTATCCCAAACTGTGTGGGGTGACTTCTATCCAAGAATCTATAAGACAACAAGCGAAAAAACATATTGATGAGGCATGATGTAATGAAAAGATTCAAGAATATATTTCAATGCACGACCATCTCTATTTTATAGGGAATAATAGGCATTGTTTACACCATCCTTTTCATTGACAGCAAAACTTAATAAACGTTAGAAACATTTTTCTAACTACCAACTGTCCCAATCTTTGAGAAGGAAGAGAATTCCTCTTTTGACAGCCACAGGGGAATCAGTCTGACGAACCGCGGCGACGATCCTAGGTTCGACAAATATTAGACACGTAAATGAAGCTCGAGAAAAGCGAATTCAAGAAAACCAGGCAAGTTTCAGACCCACTTGTCGGTGCATCGACCAGATGCTCATCATCCGTAACGATGTAAAACACAGAAACATCCACCAATGATTCACAACCCCACAGTAGCGACAAACTCCAAAAATCGAACGCTTAAATGAGTCAAATTAAAACAGAAAGGCATGAGGAAAACTGGCATGATTTAACGATATAGATAACGATGCAACGCTCCGAGACGAATACGATTAACGATAGAACAATGACTTCTCAACTCGATATTTAGCTGACAACAGAAGAAAACGATGAGACTGAAAACTTATTCACTCCAACCGAATCAATGTAGGTGAAAACTCAGTCGTTTATATATCCCTATGGTGACCTTGGCCAGAGAAAACAAAATAGCATATTCAAAGTGTCAAATGGACCAATCAGCGTTTAGCATCCTAAATTGCGGCGAAAATAAGAAGCAACATGTCGCGAGAAGGGCGCGAAAATAAGGCTTAGACTTTACAATGATAATATAAAAATATTATGAGTTAGTCATCTTAGGGATTGGCCATCCCTGACATCTCCCCCTTTATCTGGAAAAATTTTGGTTTTTACTTGGGATCCATCTGGAACCGAACTGTTCGATTTCTGCGCCGATCTGACCAACGTCGGGGTAGTAGTTCTTTGTTTATTGGCGGTTTCGAGGGTTTCTGGGCATCTTCTGTGCGTGTTACTGCGAACGTATCCAGTAGGACTTCTAGTGAGATGCCGTCGGGTTTTGTTTCTTCGACTGGTTGTGTTCGGTATCGCAGTTGATTTTTATGTCTCACCCAAGTTTCTGTTCCCACTGCGACATCATATAACACATAGCCGCATCTGCCGATAATTACTCCCTCAATCCATTTTTTATGTCCCGGTCTGTAGTCTCTGGCGAATACTGGCGTTTCGACCTCGAAATACTTTTGACCGTTCTTTCAGAATCAGAGCATCATGGGTCGTACGTAACTTTCTCCCCATCAGTGCTTCTGATAGACTCTAGTGATCTGGGAGAGTCGTTTACTGTTGTTCGGTACATAAGTAGGAAGTTTTGAATTATATCCAATAATGCACCTTCCCCCCGTGCTTTCAGTAGAGCCCTTTTGAATATATCGACGAAACGCCCCACTTGTCCATTGGACTGAGGGTGGTATGGTGGTGGTAGCGCATGTTGTATGGTACATCAACGATAAAAGTCTTGAAATTCCGTAGAGGTAAACTGAGAGCCGTTGTCAGAGACGATAGGTTCTGCAAGGCCGTGGCAACAGAAGATATTGGAGAGGGCTTTTAACGTTCTTTTGGTATTCAGCGGATTGATAAGTGCGATTTCTGACCATTTTGAGTAAGCGTCTACCAAAATAAGGTAATGGTCTCCATCAATCGGTCCGGCAAAATCAACATGAACTCTCGACCATGGGCGTCCGGGCTCTGGCCAAGGCACGGATGATAGTCGTGGAAGATACTTGGCGGCTTGTTGACATTATAAACACCGGTTGGCATAGTCTGTAATTTATTGATCCATCTACGGCCAATACACATAGCTGCGAGCGATTGACTTCATGCGTTCGACACCAGGGTGACCCGAGTGAAACTGATTTAGGATTTGGTAGCGAAGAGATGTAGGGACTATGACCCGGTTTCTAAACACGAGGCAATCGTTGACAACACACAGGGAGTTTCGGTAATGATGTTGGAGATCACCTGCGAACGTTTCTTTCGGCCATCGGGTGAGAACAAACTGGGTTGCACATTGTAGTGTTTTGTCCTTGCATGTAGCCACCTGGATATCGTCTGCAGTGACTGGAAGCGCTCTGATGGCTGCGGTTAAGTCAAAAGCTGCGAAATCTTTTGTTGAAACTGTTGCAATAACTTTTTCTTCGTTAGTCGTAGGATATTCGCTTATAAGACGGGACAAGGCGTCGGCTTAGCCAAACTCTTGAGTGCGTCGGAACTGAATGTCAAAATCATATTCTAGTAACGTTAGCGCCCATCGTTGTAGACGATTTGTAGAGTGAACCGGAACACCAGATTTCGAACCAAAAACAGCCAGTAGAGGTTTATGGTTGTCAATTTGTGGCCATAGACCAGCTTATGGAGACGACGGACGGCGAAAACAATGGCCAGGGGTTTTTTCTCAATTTGACTATATTTTCACTCTGAGATAGACAGCGTTCAAGAAGGTTGCATGATGGTTTTCTTTTTACTGTCTAGGAAGACATGTAGGATTACAGCCTCAACTCCATTTGACAAGGCATCTGTGCGGCTATTGCGATTGGCAACCATGGGCCATAGTGGGTCAGCAAAAGGTTGTATGATAACATATAATTTAGCTGATTGGAGCCTGTTGCACGTTCTTTGGTCCACTGCCACGGAAAGTCTCTACGCAGGAGGTGGTGTAGTGTAAATTACCACACCATAATGGAAGTCTGGGGGTGAAGTCGTACTGCTGCTAACTGGATAGTGTGACAGCAGTAAGGTGGATCCCTTGGAGGATCAGCAGTACAACGTTTATGACGCCTTTCCAATAAGAATAAGGGATTAGAAAACGTTGGCCCCATGGGAACCATACTTCTCCCTGCCCCACAGTCTTCCAGTGCCGGCGGTATGGCTTTCCTCTATCAGGCATATGAACAACCAAACCTCAAAACTAACTGCAAAAGACCGTTTGTGATAGACCTCAAACAGATGTTTAACGGGCTCTGGGGTCATACAAATCTTTTTCTCTTTTCCAGGCACCTTAATAAGTAGCCTTCTATGACGTGGGCGGCCGAAAGGTCTTAAACGCCCACACACTTTCAGCAGTCCACAAGACTCAATCAAACAACCTATTCTTCCCAACTGTCTCCCCTTTCGCCCTCACCACCTGACACTAATGTATGGCCTCTTACGCCTTACCCAACCTCTCTCTGCGACCGCTACCAACGATCAAAGCCATCGAAACCCCATTCCTAGTCTACTAAGACCCTGCCCGCCATCGATTTCATGGGCGAGCTTCCAACGTCCGAACTCTATGCCAAATCGGACAGTAAGTACCATTATCCAGAACTCTACAATCTTTAGCCATGGATGTGTGCTGTTCCTCTGAAACACGTATAAAGAAACCGAGTATTGTTATTAAATTGGCCACATACGGCCATAGTAATGATCTTCAAAATCCACTTTACTATTATCAGGAGACCCAAAGGCTAGATCTCGTGGACTCTGTGGTGTAAGCATAGCACTGAGCTGTAGCACAGAGGGTGCACTTCTCACCTGGATACCAGTCAACTACACTCTAAGTGCTACTCGACAGAATGAGTCTGTAAGAACTGAGAAGGATCATGAGACCGGGCGATGGTAGGAAGTCGTGAAACGAGAACAACAATGAATGAGGAAGTAGTAGAATTTGACATGAAGATTAAGTTGATGAAGTTGTGTAGATATAACTGCCCCACTGAGATCTGTTCTGAGCCATATCGCATAGGGAATCTGACCACCAAATCTGGTTGTCACATGGACCTCAACTAGGAAGACTACATTTTCCATGCACGGCTCAGATCAATAGTCAGAGACTATATGGAGTAAAGCTATATTTTGGTCTGATCACCTTTAACAATATTGCAGCCTGTATCTACTTCAGCAAATATTAGGCGACGAGGAGAACGGTAACTAGGCTTGCGTAACACATGTACTAGCCATCTGAGTTGATGAGGGTTTATGTACGCATCAACTGATTTTCTTCTTCTTGCCAAAACTTTATGCTTAAATTCCACATTACTGACATGGTAGAGCCAAGACGCACAGCCTATGCAGCGAAATGCACTCAGCCATTGACAGGCGATCGGATGTCATAGTGGCACAATGGATGATATAAGTTTACAAAATCTAATCGAGTCTTTTTTATCCGTGTCGAGATTTCGTAGCCACCGACTCACCTGGAATGAAATGACTTCACAAGTGAAGTGATCAGTGTACTCAAGTGACCAGCCGAAAATAGAAGTCTCAGAATTTACAGTCACCCGAAACTGACACTATCGTTGAAAAGCATTTTGAAAGGATACTAGCTTTATGGTGACTACCAGGAAGCACCAACTTATGTGCTTTCAATCGAACACAACTTCAATCTTAACCATTATATCTAACTTGAGCCTTTCTCGGCTAGCAATGTTTTCTGCTAAGTCAGCCGGAAAAAGTTTCGAACTGGACGACAGACCTTCCAGAAAAATGCTGTTGCAGCGTAAGTCAAGAGTACACATCGTATGTGGTATGAGCTTAGAGAGGCGGAGTTCGCTTATTCACCTGAAATCACTTGAGTTGTATTGAGTCAGATGATATAATAGCTAGTACTGTTGACCTGATGGTATGGAGATAGTACTTAGCTTGAACGAAAACACTCTGCTTCAGTAGATCCAAACTGACAGCCATCTGTGTTATTCAAGTGGATGGATCTGAAAGAGCTACAGAGGAATGACACCGATGATTACTTGTAACTTCTGCCTTCATAACACCAAAGAACGTCCATTTTTTGATGGAGACAAAAAGTCCAGATAAGCTAAGCGTCTTGAGGATAAAGGAATAAGGTCAGTCAAATAAGCAAATACAGTGTGGGTCTCCGAAAACAGTGAAGACAAATAGACAGGCCTGACCTCATATAGTTATAGTTATCAGACAGAATTATTCCTTGCTCCTCACAATACACACCAACTGCTCAATAACAGTCAGAAAACCTATACTATCTATCACGTAAGAAGAAGGCACTGCCATTCCATACTGATTGGAATGCTTGCGATGAAAATAAAGGTGTACGAACGAATGACTAAGGTAAAAACGAAAATAAGAAAGATATCACTAACATAAAACCGCTGAAAGCACACCGATAACCACGAAACTAAAGTCGTTAGGAAGTAACAGAAGCTCACTGTATCATTTGAACACAGACTTATGCTACTTGGAAGCAGTCAATGTATTGTGACAGTGAAGAAAGAGAACATGACAAATAGGAAGTGCGAATGATAAGTAAAAACAGGACAAGGACAAGGACTAAAATTAGCTAGCAGACATACGGAATATAATCAAGTAGTCATTCATATTATAATCCTGGAAATTCTGGATCCGGAGACAGTCACTCAATCTACGTATAACTAGAATGGTTAGTAAACACCAGTATAATAGTTGCAAGCTCTCCTACCAGCAGTGAAGCCAGAAGAGTTCAAAAAATTTCTTTCATCTTGACAGGCTGCAATAAATGAATCTCAAGCATCCTAATAATTCGTAAGTCAACGGTAGAAAACCATGTAAAGACGGATGGTGAATACAAGATATCTTTACGGCATTTCTTTGACGTACTTAAGATGCGAGCAGATGGTGAGTAAGCAAGAATGAAGCTTCGGTAGCCGACACGGCCAATGACAAAGCTTTCACGGTCCAGCGCCAAGGATCAAACAGCGCCCCAATATGCTGGCACCAAGAGCGGTGGCCTGCCGTGAGTAATCACAACACATAAAAACTCTGTATGGGCACTTCTTCGAGGCTGTAATAAATACACAGCTTTCGGAAGCAGTTCCTTGGGTGATTGTAACATTGAGTGAAGGCATAAAGCTGATCACCTTCGACTAATGAAGGACCATAGAATTCAAAAACCGAGGGTCAAACGAACCAAATTCATATCTGACCTTGCGTTAGATTACCACTCCCACCACACAAATAACTGCTTCAATACTGACTGTTTATCCAAAAGTGATTCTGAGAATCCGGTAAGCCTGGAGAACTAATACTTTCTCAGACAGGACATGTTGTGAGATTATTAGAAGGACGAGAAATGGCTTGATTAAAAAATGACATACCACCTAGATCCGGATTGTCCGACGGATTCATGACGACCCAGATTTCCGACAAACCCGCTGAAATGGTTGTGTTTCAAGGTCTTTCGTATTCAATATCTTTTTGCGAGCTAGTGTAAACGAATTGATTTCTTCGTGTTCGCGGAACGGTTTCAGTTCTTTGGTGAATTTTAGTGTAGCAGATCTACCGATTTACCTTTCTTAGTACTGGTTAACCTGACAGTTAGTTGGGAGCTGGTTAAGTTTGTGTCGATAATTTAGTTTCTTCAAGAACTTTGGTGCAAATAGGTTCTGCAAATATCGTGCCACCTGATTATTTGTTGTACTGTTTGTAAAAAAGTATAGAACAGTTGTCCACAGAAGCCAAGGGAGAGGAAGTTTGAAGAAGAAGTCCAGAAAACAACAAGATCCAATATCCAATATTGATAGTGCGAGCGTCGAAAACTGGTAGTTTTTGATCTCTCGCGTCTAGTTCTTAGGGCTTGGTTCGAGTTGTTCGGTTTACTCCTGCAGAGGACGAGGAAATCCCCTCTGCTTTCTTGCTTTTAGCTTCGGTGAGATGGATGTTTCGCGGGTTAGTAGGTTGTAATTTGTAGAGTGATTAGGGAGCTACGGGTTGCTGGGAAGTTTTGAGAACTGCCGTGACTCCTGTCTATGTAGGTACCTGAAAGAGAATAGTAAGGTATTGGTAAAGGAACGAAGAGAGAATAAAGAAAAAAATGAAAAAATGAAAGAAAAGAGAGGAAAAAATAGTAACAATATGGGGAAGAGAGAAGGGAAGGAGAAGAATAGGAGGGGTGAAAAGAGAACGAGAGAAAAGTATTTGGGAATTACCCGAATGGTCGCGTGGGTTTGGTTCCTACAGAAGAATTAGTAGGTAATGTGGGTGTATTAAGGAGAGAGATAGTGAGTGGTAGTTAGGAGGGAGTTGGGGGTACTGAGGTTGGTGACTACCTGAGTACGTCCGTGGTAGTCCATGCGAGGTGACATCACTGTCTAATCGCCTCTTGAAAGAGTTGACTGAAGGAGCTATAACGATGTGTTGCGGTAAGGCATTCCATAAAGCACATACTCTTAGGGAGAAAAATTTGGACCTGAGTGTGGTGTTGGCTCTCTGGTGTGCTATCTTAATGGGTTTCCTCGTGAAGATCGTTGAGTTGCAGGCAAAATTGATTTGTTTGCATGGTCTGCCTGATGGGCGATCTTGTATGCCATAATGAGGTCACCCCTTTTCCTGCGATAACCCAAGGTAAATAGGTTGAGGTGTTTAAGTCTTTCAGGATACGTCTTTCCCCTTAGCCCCACAACTGATTTTGTTGCAGTTCTTTGTATTCTTTCAAGGAGATTAGAGTCTCTCTTGAGTGTTGGAGGAGCCACCGTATTGAAGACCTCTAGGTGCGGCCGCACGTAGGATTTGAAAATGGTGGGGAAGAGTTCGGGAGTGAGGGCGCCAAGCTGTCTACGCAGAAAGTGTAGAATGGCGTTCGCTCTGGTTGTCATACCTTTGTAGTTGGAGCTGGTGTCCAAGGTGTCGGAGAAGTTGAGCCCCAAATCTTTCTCCATGGACACTCTGGTGATAGCACGGTTGCTCAACATGTACTGGAAGTCGGTCGTACTTGCCTCATTTTTACTGATGTGCATTACTTTGCACTTTTCCAGGTTGAAGCTCAGGCCATTTTCCGACGACCAGAGCTCGAGTTGCTGCAAGTCCTTTTGTAGTGCTGCACAGTCAGCTTCTTCGTTTACCACCCTCCAAATTTTTATGTCGTCAGCGAAGAGGAGGATGGGTGAGGATATTTTATCTGGCAGATCGTTGACAAACAGGAGGAACAGAAGCGGTCCTAGGATTGCTCCTTGGGATACTCCTGACGTCGAGGGTCTCCACTCCGACCTTATTCTGTTCACTTTAGTGCAGAACTGCCTCCCTTCCAGGTACTCCTTGAACCAAGAGAGTAGGGGTCCACTTATACCAGCTGACATGATCTTGTGAAGCAGTACTGTGGGTGGGACACTGTCAAATGCTTTGGCTAGGTCGAGAAATACACATGTACAGGTTTTCTGTTATCCCAGCTTTGTGTCCAGTCGTCCCAGGCGGTTAGTAAGTTGGTGGCACATGAGCGACCACTACGAAAGCCGTGCTGAGCAGTATGGACAGTGTTTTCCTATTGAGGAATTCCCAGATGGTGTCAGCTACCAGGCTTTCCAACACTTTCGACACAATAGGGAGTAGGGCAATTGGCCTGTAGCTGCCAGGGCTTTTTCTGTCTCCTCCCTTGAAGATGGGTGACAAGATGGCGCTCTTCCATTCTTTAGGGAGTTTGCACGAGTCTATTGAGTGCTCAAAGAGGTTGCGAAGTGGTTTGGTAAGCACCTCGGCGCAGTTTTTCAGAACCACTGGTTTCAGGTTATCGCAGCCAGGGGACTTGCCCGGACGTAGCCTAGATAGCTTCTCGAACACCTTTTTCTCTGTAATAGAGACGTGACAGAGGTATTCGTTATTTGCGACCTGGTCGGTGTCGTGGCGAGTCGGTGTGGATCTTGTGTCAGTGCTGAGTTGGGCTTGGAAGTGTGAGCTCAAAAGCTCGGCAATCTCTAGACTGCTTAGCACACTCCCGTCATGGCCTGTGACAAGATTCACTCCCTTACTGGTCGACTTTCTTCTTGACATGAAGCGGTACAGGTTTTTGGGGTTGCTTTGTAACCTCGCTGCCAAGTTTGTTTGGTAGGAAAATCTGTCGTTACGCACTCTAATGTTACAGAGATTGCGAATCCTTTTGTAGTTCAAGAAGTCAGACTCCCTGCGTGATGTACGCCACTTGAACCAAGCCTGCTTCTTGCTCCGGATAAGCCTCTCTGTCCCACGCTTTAACCATGAGGTTCTCATTGATTGTCTGTGTGTTACTTCTGGTACACTGTGACTGATGGCCCCAGTGATTATTTTCTTCACCTCCAACCAGTGTTCATCTATTGTGAGATGAGTCCAGTCCACTGGCCATGATGCATTCATGAGGTAGTCCCTCATGGTCTCATAGTTGGCCTTGCTGTAGCAAGGGAAGGTGTTGGGCGTCTCCAGTTGCAGAGCCTCCCTAGTTATCATGGAGAAGGTGATTACAGCGTGGTCACTGAGGCCAAGGGGAGGTTGGATGCAAACATCCTCAATGAGAAGTTCATCGTTCGTCAGAACGTAGTCAAGGCGCGATGCGTTTCCGTTAGGTCCCCAGCGTGTAGCATCACCCACTTTCTCTGAGAGGCCAGCAGTCTTAATTGCATCCTTCAGCTTCTGATTGAAGGATCTGATGCGTCTCCCTTCCGTCTCGAAGAGGATGGACGGGGTGTTGAAGTCGCCGGCAATGACTACGGAATCGTAATTTGCAGAGGAAGTCGTTAAGATAGCCTTGATGATCATTTCCTTATGTGTAGGGGAGCTGGTGGGGGACCGATATATGACTCCGAGCAGGTATTTGGTACTGTGGAGAGTGAAGTAGCACCATAGGGACTCTGGGAGCTGGGTTAAGGCCGTATCGCTAACCATCCTTGCCTTTAAACAGGAGTTTACGTAGATAGCCACTCCCCTCCTGCTCTATGTTCCCTGTCCCTGCGGAAGAGTTCCATGCCAGTAACATGCATCTCTTCGTCGGAGATGTCTGGCGAGAGCCAGGATTCGGTGATGAATATGATGTCGGAGTGCTGATGTGCACGCAGCGTCCTCATTTCTGCTACCTTCCCTCTTAGCCCCCTAACGTTGCTGTACATACATATTAGAGTGTGCCTGATGGGAGGAGAGGTCTGGTTGTGTATTTTCGCAGGATGAGCGCTTACGTGGTTGGGTCTACCCTCGCCAGTCCTCATAGGACTGGCATTGTTCCGTCTTTTTGTGTTTTGTTCTTAACTTGGGTGGGGGCTGTGGCAGTGGTGGCTTCTTTACTTGATGTATCTAACTCACTGGTCAGCGCCTGTGTGACGACCACTGACTCCAGAGGTCTTGGTGGTTGCCGTCTCTCCTCTTGCCTTGTGGGTCTAGGCTTACTTTCACATATACGTATTGAGCCACCCATGCGATCTTTCGCATTATACCATGCTTGTAGAACGTCTGTGAGGGAGGCATATGAGTCGAACTGGACGGCGAGTAGTCTGGGATTGGGTATGGTTTTCAGGTGCGCTGGCCTTGGCAGTCTACTGACGCTGTTGGCCGGTATACTGTTGAGACCAACTTTGGTTGAGAGCCATTGCCATTGTTGGACGTCGTGAAAGTACCGATCTTTGACCGAGCGGTCACTTGGCAATTCTGGAATCCCATGTACAACTATAGTGTTGTTTCTGTTGGGATTTCCAACCGCTGACTTTCTCTCCTCCTCTCTTATTGACCATGGCTTGTCAGGCCTGGCCCGAATTTTACAGGCATTAACAACGTCCGGTTGTCGCGAGAGAAGTAGTGTGTCTTCAGCCTCTTTGGCAGTATTTAGGGACACACGTAAAGGGGGTGGCTTATCTCGGGGTGCACGGCTTCCTCGAGAAAGGCGACATAAAGTTGCAGGGGGGAGGGAGTCCCAGCATCTGACAGTAGTCGGTCCACATTCGGCTGTCAAACCGTTCCCTCTCGACCAACAATGAGTCTGTCGATACATCGACGTTGAACAAAATGATCGAGTTGGTCCTCCTGTGACCTGGGTTCGTTGTGGGTGGCACGCCCGACTTCCCAATGGGTTTGAGTAATTCCACTGGTTGTTTCTCAGTCACGGCGTGTGGGGTGTTTGGAATGGGTTTCGTAGAGGCTTCAGCGGTCGATGTCTTTGGCCATGCGCTTGACGTTCCCTGGGGCCGGGTAGGAGGTATGGAGACTTGACCTAATATGGTCCCCACGCGAGGTGGCGTGCCCACAGCTGGAGCTCTAGGTCTGTTTCCAGGTCTCTCTGTGTTATCCTTTGGTGTTAACCCTACTTTATTCGAGGATGCTGGTAGCTTTTGCGTGGCGGAGAGCATCTCCTTCAGGCTCTCTGTGCGGAGTGCGGGCATTTTCCTGCACTCTGGACAGATGTACCAGAACCACTTGCATGGTTGTCTCTTCATCAGCTTATAGT